CCCTACAGTTATAGTCCAGTTTAAAACATTTATATAGCTCAGACGTAATCCTCGCGACTCTCGCGTGGAATCTTCGTGGTCGGGTAAAAATCTTGAAACAAGCCGCGGGAAGTTGTTTTTGTATTTTTATCTACAAAGAAAACGCCAGTTTTTTATTATAATCCTAAACTTTTCAACATTCGAACAGTACGTATTTTGTTAGCTAGTTTTTTATCTACCTTCTGTGTTTTTTTTTTTATATATTTAATACGTTTCAGTACTGTGTCACGGACTGAAAATTATTATATTTTATACTGTCTTCAAGGCACTCCTGAACTATCACTGAAACTTACGTAAATCCTGTCATTCAACTCAGTTCACATGTACTTTTTTATTTGCTGAATCCAATAAAACTACAGGGTGTATCAAAATAAACTGAACAGATTTGAAATTGCTCTCAATTTCGCAAAACACCTATTTGTATCCGGTTTTTTATATATATAGCTTCTTTGGGTACTTATAATGTCAAATAATGAAAAAAAATTCCCGAACTCAAATTTTGTGAACCAGGGGGGGTGTGTCTTTTCCAAGAAATTAAAAATGGCTCGCGCACAAAATTTAAAAGCTGTAATCATATTGTGACTTAATAGATGGAATATTTGTCGGGTTTTTAATTACTGTACAAAATTTCAGACAATTTGGTTGAGTTTAAGCCCTTTAACTATTCATTTTGTTCTAAAAAATCAGCCTTTCGCATGCTTAATTAATACCTTTACTTAATTTGCATATTGCTGACATATGCAAATTAGGCAAATGCATTAATTAAGCATGCAAATAGCTGATTTTTACTGAAAAATGTAACTTTGCGTGAATAATTAAGGAGTTTAAACTAAACCAAATTGTCTGAAATTTTGTACAGTAATTAAAAACCCGACAAATTTTCCATCTATTAACTCAAAATATGATTTCAGCTTTTAAATTTTGTGCGCGAGTCATTTTTAGTTTGTTGGAAAAGACACACACCCCTGGTTCACAAAATTTGAGTTCGAGAAATTTTTTTCATTATTCTACATTATAAGTACCCAAAGAAGATATATATACAAAAAACCGGATACAAATAGGTGTTTTGGGAAATTGAGAGCAATTTCAAATCTGTTCAGTTTTTTTTGATACACCCTGTATAATGCAGACAGTTACGAGTTGTTTTATACGAAAAGTCAAACTCTACTTGAATGTTTTGAAAAGGTTTCACACCGATTTTCACAACAAAACTAAATTTAAGAAACGTTGGATTAAGTCAGTGCGTTATTGTGTTCTCAATGTTTTGTATTTTGAATATATATATATCTTTTATTTTCATTTCAAACTAAGTAAAAAATATCTGTGTGATACATATAAGCCAAAAACTCGTAGAGAAAATTGCTAAAAAAGCCAACTATAAACCGTACGCGTTTCGTGTTCCTCACGCAAATAGTGATCATGTCGAATCGATATTTTGTCACGTCAACAGTTTCAACTGGATTTAGGGCTATTTTTCTCGCGTTTCCTTCGGTGAAAATTTTTTAAACTTTGCACGTTTGCTAAGCATGACGAATCGCCAAACATATCAAAATTTCAAGAAATTCTATAAGACAGATTTTTTGTAGTCGTTATTCATGAATATCTCAAAACCTGCCTTATAAACATCGCTTCAAATTTTAATATGTCATTCCCCTTTCAACCATAAATCTTAAAAAAAAAATTCAGAAAAATTGACCGAAGGAAAAAAAGATATTGCCGTTTGATTGTAAAATTAGACAATAAAAGTGCAAAAGATGAAACGTCATGGTTGCCATGGCAACACTAACACTGTTCCTATTTGTTCATATGTCGACAGCAGAAGACTTCTGAACTTTCCTGGAAATGATTATATTGCCCTGTCTTAAGTGTGTTCAATATAAATTTGGTTCAAAACGAAGGTTACCTAAAATACTTAAAATTTTAGAAAACTGTAGGGAGCCACCTTAAGTCCTTTAACTATTCATTTTTTCCTAAAAAATCAGCCTTTCGCATACTTAATTAATGCCTTTACCTAATTTGCAGATTGCTTACATATGCAAATTAGGCAAAGGCATTAATTAGCATGCAAATTTTAGTTGATTTTTAGGAAAAAATGTACGTTTGCGTGAATAGTTAAAGGGCTTAAACTAAAGCAAAGTGTCTGACATTTTGTTTCCATCTATTAACTCAAAATATGACTAGAAAATACATGCATGCAAAAACCCTCGCCTTGCTGACAAAACCATTGTATTTTCCGAACATGAAGTATCTAAAGTAGTTGCCATGGTAACACGATAATTTTTTAAGAATATTCGGTTATCATTCCATGTTTCGCGCACCAATATAGGTTAGGGTTAGGTATTAGGGTTAGGGTTAGGGGTTAGGTTAGGGTTAGGTTTAGGGTTGGAGTTAGGGTTAGGGTGTGTATATATGTGTATGGAGCTATCTAGTGAACTTTTCAATACATTATAATATCCAATACATAACGTTTACTATATTAGTGCGCGAAACATGGAACACTTACCGAATATTCTTACAAATGAAAATCGCCTAAAAATATCACTTTTAATTACAAAATTATCAATTTCCCAACTTATTTATGTTACGTATGTAATTATACATACTACAAGCTTCAATTTAAGGTAAAATTCAACCTCAAACAATTCCCAAACGTTTTAAAGTGTTCTTTAATCTTTATAAAACTAAACTGCCTTTAACTATTAAATGGCTTTATCGATAAACTTTGAGTTTGCAATAAAATGACTTCAAATTCTCGCTTGCAAATAACTTTGGTCTTTGCTTTATTTTTTTTTAAAAAAATTCAATATAATAAAAAAGGGAATCAATATTAAAGATACACTGAAATTATATGCTGTATTGTTAATAGTTGTTTCATATACGCAAAATCGTCGGGTTTTAAAGCCATTATAAAATCAATATTTAAAACAAACTTACCTTCGTTAACGTCGGCTCCCTTCTTTTAGCTGATTCTTTCGCCCTTTCTTTCTTGAAATTTACAAAATCTTGCAGAAATACGAGCAAAAATAAAGAATATTTGCAAGAAATTTAATCATCAACTCATCAAATCAAGAAATGTTTGGCTTGTTTGCTATTTCGCTGTCGTCATGCAGCCGTTATAATGCAAACTTTAAATTGGACCAATCAGTGTCCGTTATTCATGACAGTCCGCCATATTTTTGAGATCAGTGAGGATGACCACCCATCATTGGTGACCGACGCCCGCGCTCATTGATGAACTTTAGACTTCGCTAATGCTTTCTTTTTTCCCGGGTGTAAATAGCCGGGGGGAATTAGTACCCTCGCACGGCGCTTCGCGCCGCCGGCTCGGGGATTAAAGCTTTTAAATTTCGTGCGCAAGCCATTTTTAGTTTGTTGGAAAAGACACACTCCCCTGGTTCACAAAATTTGAGTTCGATAAATTTTTTTCATTATTCTACATTATAAGTACCCAAAGAAGCTATACATATAAAAAAACTGGATACTAATAGCTGTTTTGCAAAATTGAATACACCCTGTATAATACCTTATTGAATTCTGATCGTTTAATTGGCTGTGTATGGTCACGTGATATTGGATAGAAAATTCACTTCCCAAGAGTGCAATGGAATACGTTCCATTGCACTCTTTGCGAGTGCAATTGTACTATACGTTTATTCCATTGCACTCTTTGTGATTTCGATCCTGGTTATATGTAATGAATGTATTTAATATATAATCTTTGTTCACTGTTCAAAATGCACGCACGTCATTGGTCAAAATCGATCACGTGTGTTTTTGTTACCTGGCAACAACGAATCCTGCGAATGCGTTATTGACAATAACGCATACAAAATGTGCATTATTGAAAATGGCTGCCAGCGAGGCTGCCTGCTCAAGGTTTGCTGGAGTCGATGAGCAAAAAATTAATCAGATTATAGAGAATGCAATACCTAAAAATACGAAAAGACAAACAAGCTGGAGCATTGCTATCTTCAGAGGTCAGTAAACCAAGCAAAAACTTATATTATTCGCCATTTTTCCGTGGTGTAAACAAGTGCTCGAAAAGTTGCATACAAGCAGTGAACTCAGATTATATATTAAATGGGTTAGAGACTGTAAAGTTCGTGTTTTGTTTACAAATATACGCAATTGCTGATCGTAGAATGAACTCGAAGTTTTCAATACTGCAATCGGCTTCGCCTCGTGCAGTATTGAAATTTCTCGTTCATTGTACGATCAGCGCGTGCGTATATTTGTAAACTAGAAAATACATGCATGCAGAAACCCTCGCCTTGCTGACAAAACCATTGTATTTTCCGAACATGAAGTTCTAAAGTAGTTGTCATGGTAACACGATAATTTTTTAAGAATATTCTTACAAATGAAAACTCGCCTAAAAATATCACTTTTAATTACAAAATTATTAATTTCCCAACATAACTATATGTTAGGTATGTTTTTATACGTAATATAAGCCTCAATTTAAGGTAAATTCAACCACAAACGCTTCGCAAAACGTTTTAAAGTCACTAGTGTTCATTATAAAACTAAACTGCCTTTTAAAATGGCTTTATCGATAAACTTTGAGTTAGCAATAAGATGATTTCAAATTCTGGCTTGCAAATAACTCAGTGCTTTCTTTTTTATTTAGAAATTCAATATCATAAAAAGGGAATCAATATTAAAGATACACTAAAATTATATGCTGTTTGTTTAGTTGTTTCATATACGCAAAGGCCGTCGGGTTTTAAAGCCATTATAAAATCAATATTTAAAACAAACTTACCTTCGTTAACGTCGGCTCCCTTCTTTTAGACGATTCTTTCGCAGTTTCATTTTGAGAGAGCTTTTGAAATTTACAAAATCTTGCAAAAATGCGAGTAAAAACGAAATATATTTGCAAGAAATTTATCAATGATCAAATCAAGATCAAATGTTTGCTATTTCGCTGTCGTGATACATTCGTGCCAGTCGTTATAATGCAAAATTTAAATTGGACCAATCAGTGTCCGCTATTCATGACAGTCCGCCATATTTTTGAGATCAGTGAGGATGACCACCCATCGTTGGTCACCCACGCCCGCGATATTTGATGAACTTTAGACTCCGCTAATGCTTTCGTTTCCCCGGGTGTAAATAGGGGGGGAATTAGTACCCTCGCACGGCGCTTCGCGCCGCTGGCTCGGGGATAATAATGATTAGAAAATCCAAGATGGCCGCCAACCTAAGAGTGCCCACAAAATTTAAGTGCTTAGAGCGGCTTAAAAATGCGTTTAGTCTTTGAAATTTTTCCTTCTTTTTGCTACCGACGTACTCGAAATCAGATTCTTCAGCTTTTATTACTTGGGAACTATGTAGTTGCTGTTCTTCCAACTGGGTTTGGTAAATATCGTTCGTTCGCTAAACAAAATTAATAGATGTTCTCCAGCTGGACAGGCTTGCCTAAGAGGACACGGAAAGTGTTTTGAACTGGGGATGTTAAACTTGGTTTTACCCTTCCAAAGACTCTGCTGTGCGATGATTGGAGCGAGTTTATGAGGAATATTTTATACAGTGATTCAAAAAAATGTTTTTGCATATACTGTACATGTTATTGATCTATTGTTGAATGTCACTTATATTATAAAGTGCCAATGGTTGGAATATTTATTCATTGATATTTTAAACACAGATGAAGTGTTATATGCTCTTTCCTTGTTTACGTTTTCCTTGCAGCCAAGTGTTGTTGAAGCTGGCAAGCTGCAAAACTGACATATGAGTGATATGACCCAAATATTGGACATATGCATCTTAGTTTGCTTCCAGTAAAATGTAAACAAGACCTTAAGAATTCTATACGAGATAAGAAATATTCCGTTTAAAATCATGACTGGCAAATTAGCATGTGCGAATTGATGCTTCCTAATAATAGTATGTACTCCAGTAAAGCTTGCTTACTTCTATTCTTGCTGTTACCATCTGCACATTATCAGGGTGGAGAGTTGATTTGAATTTTTTGTCCCAGGGGATAAAGGTAGGGAATAGATTTTCCATCACAAAAGGGGCAAGGTGCCCAACCAGTTAGACATGTACTTTAAGTGACCATTCATTATACCCTATGGTGGGGTGGGAGATTCTTATGTCAAAATGTCATGGGACCCCTTT